GTGTGCCTTGGCATTTCATTATATCAGGACACATATGTGTTCATTAGACATATTTACCTCCAATTGAATGCAGATGGAATTCAGCAGAGTGTAGGTGGTGTTTCGGGAGAGGAGTGACACAAAAACATGCTGGAAAACATTATATTATTTTAGAATCACGTTCAAGTTTCTGACAAAAAGAGTTAAAAAAAAATGATTTTCTTTTCTTACCTGATCACAGGTTGTTTCAATCACAAGGGCGTTTGGCACTAACAAAGCAGTTTTAGCTTTTTTGATAAACGTCACAGTCACCGCAGGGATAGAAATCTGGAGAAAACACAGCCATGTTATACAAGGGAGTTCAGCCATAAAACATGAACTTCATAACACTTGCAGTATCGTACCTTTGTATCTCTGCCGAAGACTTTGGAGTAGAAGCAGATCCAGTTATCGGAGACGAACATTTTGCCCTGATACAAAATGTCCTTTTGCAGGGCGCAGGTGTAGCCTGTGTGAAAACAAACAGCACTAAGTAACATGGCTTTGCTTCTTTACGTGAAAAGAGAATCTGAAACTTACTTTGTTTGAGGAGCTCATCTTTGCTGACATCCTTGAATAGCTTATGATAATGGAGGTTTGTCTTTGAAATCTGAAAGGACACAGAGTATTATTGTGTTAAGAAAATGCAAAAAGGTGTCCATTTTATTAGGAGTTTGATGATTAGATGAGAATTATACATACGTGGGTAGGCTGGGACTTTTTCCGTTCAATCTTTGTTTCACATTCACTGGGAGTCAGCAGTGGTGAAAGCTGCTCCACAGGTTTCAATCTGACAGATAAAGGTCAGTGTTAATGTTAAAGTGACACCTTAGCAGGAAGGCTGATATACCAGCGTTATAACTCCTGATACAAACATGATGTGTGATCTCACGCTCACAGAATGCTTCTTTAAGTAAAGGTGTTCTTTATTTGGCTTTGCTGTCAGCTGTGGTTAAATAAGACCGCTTACACAGCAACAGCAGCATGTAAACACCACTTTTGTCATGCAGGTTGACAGTAACTGGTGCATTAACAGTGCTGTTTTCACAACGTTAGTGGAATAGATCCGGTTTAATCAGAGAAATAATTTATATTCCTTGTTTTTCTTTAGGGTAATACAAATGAACAATTACACATTTCAATATAGCACTGATAATTCATATACAATAGCATGTTTGCCGTAGAGGCCACATTTTTTATTTATGCAAAAATCCAGTTAATGGCAATCCAAAATGTGAACGTTTAGATTTAATCTACACTCAAGGAATCTAGATTAACTTGTTTAATTTTCAACAATATGTATATACAGTAGCTGTTTAGGGATAGAATAAACAATGTCCTTTATTATCAATCAATTGTAAAAGCCTACATTGACAAAAGTGCAAATCCAATTGTAATTGCTTCTCTTAATAAGAAGATTATGTTTAAACTGTGTTTTTCTGCCCATACTTAAACTGTGTGTTTAAAGGTCCCATGTCATTTCTACTGATCATAATTCCATTGTTGAGGTCTACTAAAATAGATTTATATTGTGCAATTTTCGAAAATCTCATTGTTTCTCACACAGCATCTCTGTATAGTAAGTGTATTCACTCTCTGTCCTAAACAGCTTGTTGGAGCTCCGGCCCCCCCCTCCCTGTGAGCCCAGTGGCCGTCTGCGAGACAGCGAGACACAGCTAAACCAGCCCGAACACACACACACCCGCAGCCTGGCTGGGAGTTTGTGTGTGTGCTCACACACTGACTCACAGCCTCGCCGCGTCCCGCCGTCTCAGGGAGGAGAAATCGGCGGAGCTGCAGCTGAGAAAAGAATGAGTGTGTGTTGTGAGGAAGTTAACGTAACGGCTCTGCGGACGTAACGTAACGGCTCCACGGATTGGTCCATTTTGACCAATCCTTGGAGGGGTCGTCGTTACGTCACTTGGTTCCCGGAAGAAAAAAATTGAAAAAGAAAATCTCCAACGAGGTGTTCTGGGGCAGCATAGACACGTCTTTTCTGTGTTAGAGTTTTACTCGCTACAGGGTGTACTTTGAGGGTTTGTGACCGCAGAGCGTTTACAGGCAGAAAAACCTACATAACACACAAGGTGACGGATAATAACCGGAAAAATTCACTTTTCAAGGCAGCAACAGAATATAAGAAACACAGATATTATACATGGAATATAAACGTGAATTAAAATAATAAAAGTAAAATAAGAGTAAACATGTATTAATTATAAATAGCAACAGCAGTTAAGCTATGATCCGGTTATAACATAGCTGGTACACATGCTTATAGTGGGACTACCTGTTTAAATAAAGGATCTAACAAATAGATAACAATTTAAAATGTATTGATTGATTTTTCATGAGAAAAAAACACATTTCGAAACTGTAAATCATTGATGTAAACAGAGAAGAATCATCCAATCCTGCTTGAATATGCCATACAAATGAATTAAACATCAATACGTTTTCCGATTCATTCAGCTATACTAGTTTTTATCAGGTTTAAATAAGAGCACCTCACCTCATGCCTGCTGCTTTCTTCCTGCTCTCTGAGGGGTCTGCCTCTGGGTCTCCACCCAGCTGGGGGTCTCCATGCTTCCTCTGTCTCCTCTCTCCCCCATGATCCACATCAGACCTGGACACATCCCACAGGACACAATTCTCTATGTTTCTGCACATAAATCACCTACACAAGACGGTCAAACGTGTACCAACACATCAAGTATGCAGTACATCTGTAAGTAAAGCATTGTATAGCAGAGCAGACCATTGTTGTAATTCAAAACTAGCATATTATGTAAAGTATTGTCGCTTACATGCGAGTTATTCCGTGCCACGTAGGCTGCATGCATTCATAAAAAAGTGAGCACGGTGTTTCATATAACAACTACAGGATATTCATGCAAATAACCACAATGCATTAGGCCTGGAAGGCAGCCCGGGCCCTTCCTCTCCATCTTATCCAGACTTACGTCGTCCGATTCCCGCGGGAGTGGAGAAGTTGCTCCGGTGTGGAGGCCGGGGTCAGAGGTCTGTCCGCCTGCTCGGTCATCAATACCATGGTTCTTTATTTCTCATTTCTTACGCTACCCCTTCCATAAGTTGTACAGAAGTTTCAGGAAGCCGGCACGGAAAGTTTTTTTTTTTGTTGGAGGATCTGGTCGGTGGAGCGAGAAGCCCTGGCCGACAGAGGAGGAGCCGGGAAAGGGGAGGGAGCAGCAGGGAACAACATCGGGAACAAGAGGTGACAAGAGGCTCCCGCTGCTGGGGGAAAGACAATGCTGGGACAACTCCTGCAGAACGAGTCTGCACATTACCTATCCATAATATAACAGTGACATATAACTTCTCACAAGGAACCAGTTAAAGAGTCCCACTTACGTTGTGAGACTGGTTCCAAACATTATTTCAGTAAGTCAACTTCCTGCAACTTTTAAACTGTTATAACTTTGATATTGTAACAGAGTGTATTTGAGAGGGACTTCCAGCAGGGGGCAGCAGAGTCTAGGTGATATAATGTCTCTACTTCAGGTGAGTTTTCCCCTCAGGTGACCCTGCAGGCTGCAGACTGAGGACGTGGAAGCAGTATTCAGAGGAAAGGAAAGGCCTGCATTCAAAGTATTCTTACATCTGCTGATTTTCTTTTCTTAAATAGTACTTTTCATTTGTGCACTTTATTTGAGTATAATTTTTTGCTGTACTTTAAATGTCCACTCTGCTACATCTAAGAGGCAAACATAGTACCTTTACTGCACATTAGCTATAGTTAACTACACCTTTACTAGATGAAACATTGACATGATGTACACATTTTGCATCAACGATGATAATCCATTAAATCCAATAATATGATCAATTTGATTGTGAAAAGGGACGTTATACATAATGACCATTAATGCAAATACTGTACATGCTTACCTTTTTAATGCAGGACTTTTACTTATACTGTGGTATTGCTACTTCATGTTTTGTTATATTATGACCAAACTTTTATGTCTTATTTTTTAAACGTTTTGCTTATTTTATTGTTTTTCTGCATCTTATCTTGTTTTGTTAAGCACTTTGAGCTGCATCCTTGCATGAAAGGTGCATTACAAATAAAGCAGTTATTGTTATTATTATTATTATTATTATTACATTTGTTTCTACTTGAATACAGTATTGAAGTATTTGCAGTTTAATCTAGTATTTCCATTGCTTTTTTATAACAGCGCTGAGATTTGTTACTAACTGTAAAGTACTCACTCATCACGGTACCCTGTATGCCAGGGCAGGTTGGCCTTCTCTTACTGTACGGAGGCTCAGTCACTGGTACATGTTCATCTATAAAGCCATGTTGGGTAAACTACCAGCTTACATCTGCTCTCTGATCTCACAGAGAGTTGCAAGTAGCTATTGCCTGAGATCTCAGGATGTGTTTTTGTTACATGTGCCAAGTGCTAGGACTGATTATGAAAGCTTTTATGTGCGCAGCTCCTCTTGCTTGGAACACTCTGCAAAATAACTGAAACTGAGCATCTTGGTTCCCCTGCATCATTTTAAAGCACGGCTAGATGCAATGCAATATGATAATCTTGGTACCTGTCAATGTCGATAGGTTTGTAAATTGTACCCCTGTAATTATGTTGTATGAAAAAGAGATCGTTTGTTCTCAACGGGATTTTACCTGGTTAAATAAAGGCTACAAACAATCTAATATTATAAAATAAACTGTATTGTTGGAGTTTAAATCAGTGCTTTACATTCTTCTGTTGCACATCACTTCTTATAAAAACAGTGTCTGCTTGTCAGATGTTATCAGGAGACTCACTTGCTATGTAAACAATGTTTCTTGATTAAACATACCAAAGGTGTAATGTACTCAGATTTTTTACTTAAGTAAAAGTAGAAGAACCAGAGTGTAGCAATACTCTGACTGTTACAAGTAAAATTCCTGCAATCAAAATGTTACTCAAGTAAAAGTAGAAAAGTATATTGCCATCTAGCCTACATATACTTAAAGTACCAAAAGTAAAAGTACTCATCAAGCAGATTGCCCCAATTCAGAATAACATATTTATGTGTTGATTATAATGATTGATCATTAAAGTGTTATCAAAGCTGGTAAAGGTGCAGCTAGTTTGAATGACTTTGTATACTGCAGGGTAGCTTGTGAATTTACTCCAGGTGGAACTAAAGTCTGATTTAACACTTTATTATATCTCACATCATTCATTCAAATCTGTAAAGCAACTAAAGATATTCAATAAATGTAGGGGAGTAAAAGTACACCATTTTTCTCTGAATTGTAGTAGAGGTACAAAGTAGATTTTTTTTTTAAATCAAGTAAAGTACAAGTACCTCAAAGTTCCACTGAAGTAGAGTACTTGTAATGTAGAGTAAATGTACTTAGTGACTTTAAAACACTGCACAATACATATTGCACAACCGCAACATATGTTCAATAAAAGACATCTGATACAAAAATAAGTAGTACATGTCTAAACCATGTACACCTATCTTGTCTTATGTCATAAAACACTTAAATATTAAATAGGATTGTCTTAAAGTTAAATATTTAGTTGTCTGTATTTTCTTTCATCGGCCTCCAGGCGTCGCTGTTGCGGCGTTTAATGAACACATCAGTTGGGGAAAAGACCTGTCAGAGTTTATTAAGTATCCAGAGGACACCGCCGGCAATGCAAGCTAGCAGCTAGGTAGCATTTAGCCTGCCATTAATCATGGCTGACAGGGAACAAGGGGTTAAAGGTTGGGAAGCTGCCAGAGACTGTTATAAACTGACTGCTTATTCAGGAAAGGAGAGCTGTGAAACCCAGACAGTGTTTACTGGTTCACTTTCCAAATAAACGGGGCAGGATGGATGTAGTAAAATAATAGAAAACAAATACACATTACTCTTAATTAGTTGAATTCACAGAGTAGGCTAAGTACAGTCAAAACAGATATTACAATAATTGTTTCAATTATATATGGTTGTCCACTTAATCATGACATAATGAATGACAAAATAAAAGTTGAAATGCTTTATAACCATTATATTCTAATTATGCAGTCAGGCACATCATTTGTTTTATCATGACAGACACTAAAGTGTAAAAGCCAAAGATGACAATAATCATTCTAGGAATTTATTAGGAAAATACAACTTTAAAGTAAAGGCATTACCAAACATTCACATCTGTTAAGTAACTATAGGTGTCAAATAAATGAGATGGAATAAAATCTAGTGGAGTTTTGTTTTGGAAGTATACATTTGAATGAATTGTAATTGTTGGATGAGTTTAGTTTTAGTTTGGTTTGTTTTGACAGATTAAGGTTATAATCAGATCTTTATGCTAAGCTAACTCTCTCCTTTCTGCAGCTTTAAATGTAGCGTACAGAAATGAGATCCGCCATTCTTTTCTAACTCTGCAAGAAAACTAACATTTTGTGTAATTTTCTCAAAAGCCTGGTACGAAAAGCGTTTTGTCATTAGATTAAATGTGAATGATGGTGGCACTTTCTGATGCTTTCTCAGAAATATCTCCTTTTGGAAGGCAGAAGCCCTTTTCAGTGCCTGTCAGATATTCCAGCACAGAAAGACAGAGAACAAGGCCGGCATAGAGAAAGGAGGTGCTGTGTGCCCAGAGAGAGAGAGAGTGCAAAAATGGTACTCGTGACGGGGGAAGATTGAAGTCCTGTTAAGTGCTCTGCTTGAAAGCATGTCTGGCCTCATTAGCTGTCAGTTGTAACAATACTGAACTGGCAGTGAAGACAGGTTGGAGTCTAGTGGTCATAAATCACTCCTCGACAGCTGCCTGACAAGCTGGGAACCAGTACACAGGCACGGCCCCCCCCCAGCCTTTCAGACGCTGCACAGGCACACTGTAATCTAAGAAATTATCGCCCTGAAATGACTGAGCCTGGACCAAAATGGGTCGTTTTGTAAGCAGGAAATTGCTTTCATTTCACATGTATGTGCACTCGTATGAAACCCCTGCATGGCTGTGTCCATTAGCTAAAGGAGCAGTGGCTGTAGTCAGAGGAGGAGGAGGGGGGGTAAAGAGTCAGGCCTGCAGGTCATTAATCACGGCCTGTGACATGCAGAGCAGGAGGCCAAGGCTCCCCTATGCATACAGCTGCTGGGCCACACTCAGTGCACAGGCGATGTGTTGACCCTCGGACCCCCCCACCCCTTCTTCTCCCAGTGCCTGTGGCTCTCATCTGTCCAACTCCCTCACTACTTGTGTCAGTCATTTGTGCTGTCAGACACCACTTCCTCCTCCTGACCAACCGCAACGCTCCTCATGCAGGCTCTCACTTTCACGTGAGTCAGTGAATACGAGTTGGATTTTGTACTAGTTTATAGTACCAGTTAGTATAGATTACGACAAACAACTTTCTTATGGATTGCCATTCAGTTTGGTACAGACATTCATGTTCCCCAGAAGATTAACCCTCATGACCTTTTCTTCTGGTGACACAATGAGATTTAAAATGTTGTTTTTTGCGTGGAATATCTAAATAACTATATCTTTAAGGTGGTGATGGACAAGTTTTTAGCCTTCACTTGCAATGTTGATTGCATCATGTAATGGCTGTAGCATAATGACACCACAGCATTTTAAATGAGTTCCCTTTGATGCTCACTTTCACTATGAAAGGTCTGCCACCTATTACGTTGTTGCTGGTCAATTAAGGCTTGATTTATTAAACTGAATACATGTGTCCTCTACATTTTTGCCCACTCTTTTCCAATGACGCTACATAGCACTAGCCTCAAAAGTCTCTTAGTCTGGTATGTGACCAAATATCTGGAAAACTAATGCTTTCCAATCAGTCTCTGTACTGCACTATGTGTTGAGTGCTAATTTGTGAACGCTAGTACAACATGGTAAACATTTTACCTGCCTAAGAAGAATAGATTTATTGTCAATTTAGCTACATAGAAAGAATAAAAAGTAAGTTGAAAAACCTATTAAGAATAAGTAAGAATACAATCTCTTCAGTCATTAATCATCCATGCAGCCAATACGACCTGACTCAGTATTCCTGCTGTTATCCTTAAATGATATATAACAAAAAATGTGTTATTCTAATAATCCTTGTGAAGTGTGAACTCTGTTGGTCCTCTCCTGTGTTTTAAATGTATTGCTTTCGCTGCTCTGACACCTGAAAAGTGTTTTTAATCTAAATATGTC